TTTCCTCGAAAAACCCCACAGTTGTAAAGGAAAACTAATTTCAATAGGCGCCTTCATGTCTTACACTGTAGCACTGGTATAAAGCTTAACCCTTCAGTTTCCCTCCCAAGATCTCCTTAATAATTCTCATTACTTTCTGCCATACAATTCTTGTGATAACCAGTTCGCAGAATTCGGTATTGGATCAAATATTAATCCTCTAATTGATATTTTTCTTTATTAAATCCATTTTGAAATCACTGGTGGTCCCTGTAATCTGATTGGCTCTCATTGTGCGATTTATTCACGAATCCCACCATTTTACGCTTGACCATTTTACGCCTGACCATTTTACGCCTGACCATTTTACGCTTGACCATTTTACGCCTGACCGTTTTACGCTTGACCATGTTATGCTTGACCATTTTACTCTTGACCATTCACGAATCGCATCACTTTACGCTTGTTGGAGTTTTTGACACGTGACGTCAAAGTCTTTCTGTTTTGCATACAAAATAAGACGTAAAAGCATTTCCGGCTCCGCTTTTCATTTAAAAACCGGTTCAGTACTGCACCAATAAAATATTTGAATTGACCAAGTCCTGTATTTGGGCGATTTCAAAATAGATGTAATAAAGTGGTAATTGAACCTCGTGTCGTGCAACTTTGGTCTGAAATCATACTTGTGATTTCAAATGGAACTCGCGCTGCGCGCTCGTTCGATTTTGAAATTACCCGTATGATTTCAGCCCAAATTGCACTCTACTCAGTTAAATTACTATTAATTATTCTCATCACTTGTGCGCTTGATATTGTATTGATCTTTGTAAGGAGAAATTCTGCGCTTTTCAGTTTAAGGATTCAGAAGACAGAGGTAGCCTTGGGTCTGACCTTGTAAAATTTTTGATTGTGATAACAAGGACATCCTAATACTGCTGAGACACACGCGTTCCCGTGAGTTACCAATCCCGGTGGACATATACATCCGGGTTTACACGAGTCATTTGTGCAGGGGATTACTTCCAATTCGGCAAGGTCTGCGCATGTCCTGGTACAAGTGCAATTACTCCATTGGCATACTAAAGAGTACAAAAAAAAAAAAATACAAACACTTTCAGTGCAATGGTTCACATGTAAGCAATGTAATTATTCTTGTGGATACTTTTGAGCAAAGCCAGCCTTCAAAAACGAAGTTGTAAACATTTCTAACCTGGTGTAGAAGTTGGGATAATTGTGGCGACCGTCGGATTTAGGGTTCTTGCTGTTGTTGTCACGTAAGGCCCTGGGGCTGATACTTCCAGTGTCGGACTCGATACCTTTGGTGTTGCTGACAGTTTTAGTTTGGGTGTCGTAAATGTCGGACCTGTTGGCCTTGAAAATTTCTGTGTTGCTAATTCCTCCGTGGCCAGCGTCGTTGTTGAGGTTGTCTCATTGGGCGTTGTTCTCGATTCTAATGCAGATATCGTTGCCTTTGTCCAACTTGCTGCCTTTCTAATTGTCGCTTCCTGTGTTGATATTGTTGTTGTCGGACTTGTATCCATTTCTATAGTTGTTTTTGTAGATTTCTCTGAGGACATCACCCTTGTGGGAGATGATATCTGTGTTTTAACAGACTTCTTTGAAGATACGTTTGATATTGGACTTAATGATTTGTTTGTTGATTCCCCAGTGGGTATTCTTGATACCAGACTGCCCGCAGTTAGTGTTGTCATCGATTCCTTTACAGATGATATCAATACTATCCCACTTGCTACCTTAAGTGTTGCCGACTTCTGTGAGGGCATAGTAGTTGTTGGACTTACCAAAACAGCTTCACTCCCTTTCTTCGCTGGGACTACTGATGTCGTACTTGTTTTCTTTGTTGTTTTTAACCTCTTATTGGATATTCCCGATGTTGGACTTGAAGTCAGTACGGATACCGTTGATTCCGCCCCTGATATCTTTGCCTCTGCTGCTTTTGTTGTTGAGGTTGTTGTTATTGTTGTCGTTGACCCTTCCGAAGGTCTCGTTGCTATCCGGCTTCCTACCTTTATTATTTTTAACTCATTTGAGGAACTTGTCGCTGTTGGACCCTCTATCTTTGATTCTGGCAGAGATTGCTGAGTTGGTACTCTCACCGGTGTTTTCAATCTTTGAGCTTGGTTTGGTGGCCGAGCCGTTTCTCTGTCACCTAGCTGCAACATGCCACTTGCTACCAAGAGAATCGTGTGGTTATGATAAGGTATTAGATAACGTTCTGATTATCTATTTAGTTTGAGGGTTTTTTTTTTAACCAAGTAGGTTACGTTCAATCTGTTGAAATGTAATTGATTACGGATGATTATTACAAACTGGGCCACCTTAGAGGTTAGGGATGCTAGTTAAGTCTATGCATGAAGTGGATATATCTACACAGTACGGTTTGTCAGATACAGTTTTCGATATGAGGTTGTTATCGTCTTATGATGATTGTGATTTTTCACATTGTACACGTTCATCGTGTTTCACTTTAATGAGATTGCAATGCTCTTACCTGAAGTGGATAATGAAGAAATCATCGTATTTTCCACGCTTATTGTCAAATTATTTCCAGTCCCCGACTTCAGTGTGACTGTCGTACAAGTGGTTTGGCACACGGCTGTTGACTGGTCAAGAGTATTTGGTTTTCTTTCGCACGTGCACACGCGACACGCTCCGTCATGTATCGTTGTACTGAACTATGAAAAGAGTAAGCATAGCAAGTTTACAAGGCTCGTCTGTCCTGGTATAGGACCAGTCATTGTTAGTTAACACCGGAGGGGGAAGTGGAGGATTTTGGGAGATCACGTGGCTTTAAGGGGAAACGTGGGGATCATTCGTCGCCAACAGGGTCTAAGGGGGGGGGAGAATATAGGAAAAATTTACTTTCAAGAAAGGGAGTGGGTAGTATAAGAATATTACAGAGCCTTAGGGGAGATCAGGTAAATTTCATTGTGACACGACCAAAATCCTTTAACCCCTCCTTCCCCCCCCACCCCCCACTCCCCAGGAGATGAATGATGACGGTCCCTCAAGGAGTGTAGAATTAAAGTACTTAATGAATGGTCCCAAGGGAAACAATCAGTTTTGCTTCCTTGATACCTTTAAGGATGATAGGACCCACGTGTGGTTTCTCTCAAAGGAGCACTCTTACGAAACCGACCTATAATTTGAAAACCCGAAAAATTCAGTCATTTCTTTATAATGTCAATTTTTAGCGATTAATAAAGCCTTTTCAATAAAAATTTAAGTTGAAAGTCAATTCTAGGGCGACAAATTACGATTTGAAATCCGTTCCGCCATTAATTTTCGTAATCACTTGCCAGACTCAATAAGACTGGCGCAAGTTTGGAGCGTGACATAGATTACTCATTGGACGCGCCGTGCTCGTGGCTAATTTTCAAAAACAGTATTTTGATCGTATGTATTGCTTTTATAACACTAAGACTAAGACTATTTCACTAAATTTCACGAGGTTTTTGATGCGCTCGAA